TGCTTCATAGATGTTTATGATTATCTCTTCCTCTGGGATAGTTCCATTTATGATGATGTAGTGACCCCTTTTTTTTTTAAAAATCTCTCTTAATCAGTTTTGGCTTGATATTCAGTTTCTCTGCAAATACAATAGCTACCCCTGCATTTTTTCTGGATTCCTGTCACATGGAGTATTGTTTACCATCCTTTGACTTTTAGTCTATGAATTTTTGAATTAAATGTGTTTCTTGTATGCAATATATTGTTGGGTCTTCTTGATCCATTATGCCAGTCTGTGTCTTTTGACTGATGAATTGAGACCATTAACATTAATGGTTATAACTGATATTTATTGACTTATCCTTGTCATGTTATTTTCCTGTTGTTGACTCTTCCTGTTTCCCCCCTCTCTCTATTAGTTTGCCTTACCTGGAGGATTCCTTCTGATAAGGTTCATGGAGCTGTAGTCTTTATTATCTCTCTAGAATGACCTTCAGAACATTTGGAGCGCTGGTTTTGTGGTTATGAACTTCCTCAGGTGTCTTTTGTCATGGAAGTATCTTATTTCTCTATCAATTGTAAAAGATAGTTTTGCAGGATACATCAATCTGGGTTGCAAGTTGTTTTTCTTTAGAACTTGGAGTACTTCACTCCAACTTCTCTTGACTTGAGAGTTTATGCTAAGAAGTCAGCTGTGATTCTGATGGGCTTTCCTTTATAGTTGATTTGTTTCTTTTCTCTATCAGCTTTAAAAATTCTATGTTGAATTTCTGGAATTTTGACTATGATATGCCTGGCTGTAGATTTTTTTGATCATTGCTAATGGAGTTCTGTATGCCTCACTTACCTGACTCTCAAATTCTTTTTCTCTACCAGGGAAGTTTTCTGTCATGAACATTTTTTAAAAGTCAGTTATGATACATCCTGCTTGTTTATTGACTCTAATCTTAAATTATTCTTTGTCTCCTCTAGCAGCTACTGATTTCTCAGGGTCTCTTGCTATTTTTGAGAAATCTTTTTCTGGTTACTAACTGCAAACCTGTCTTCCAATATCTGAGATCCTGTCTTCACATTGGCCTCATCTGCTTCCAGTTCTTTCGATGGAGTTTTTAGTGTTCTGGGTATCTGCTTGAATTTGCTTTATGGATTCCATTTCTTTCCTGTGCTGAACTTACATAATTTTCTTAAGTTCGTCTAATTTTTTTGTCTCCATATACTCTAATGTCATTAAGCATGGTGTATTTTGGTTATCTCTGTAATTATCTTGAGAGATTATTGCTGATTTAATTTTTTCCAGAGTCTCATTCAATTGCTTTGTTGTTACCACTTCAGAGAGACTTGGTGGGAGGGCCTTTGATTTCCACCTGATTTTCCCCTGGATTTGCCTTTAGTGAGCTGGATGTCTGAGGCTGCATTTTGCTTAAGAGTCTACTTATTTTATTTTCTCTCTTTTATTTAGTTCAGTTCGGGGGATGATATTTGTAAGTTGCCTGTGATGGGTTGCTTTATTGGTGGTATTTAGGACCCTTAAATGATGATTGTTTCTCTGAAGTATCCTCCAGGTATAGGTAGTTTTTGGGTTTTGAGTCTGTTGGAAGATCTTCAGTTTGTTGGAGGTGAGAAGTTGTTGCTTGTTGGCCTAGTCCCTGGTTCTCTGGCACTGTGCCATAGTATTTTCTGTGACCCTTAGTCAATCTCAGTCATGGATTATCAAGAGCAACAGCTATTTAGAACAATTATATCCATTTTGGGTATAGTGGTACCAATAGCATCAAACACAGCCTAGATAACAACAAACTGAGCTAAGCTTAATTTGCAACTTTTAACCATATGAACTAGATTTGTAATTATATAAAAAATGTAAAACAAGCCAGATATTGTTATATGCAATATGTAAGTCCAGATGTGTCAATTTTGCCTTTGTAGTAAAAATTTAAAATGGGTTAAGGAGAAAATAGAGAAGTGAAAGAAGAGAAATATTAGAAGTAAGGTTAGAGGACAAAGGGGGATCATGCCAACTTTGGGAAAGTGGTGTAAAAGACTGAAGGAAAAGAAAGATGGAAGAGATCAAAAGGAAGAACAAAATAGAACCACACCCACAAAGAGGCTAGGAACCACCTTCACACTCATATATAAACCATAAAGGAAAAAGAGAAAAGAAAAAACCCCACAAAAACCAGCAACAACAAAAAGAAAAAGAACAAGAACAAGAAAAACAAATAGTCCACTTCCAAGATTCTCTCTGGTTTCACTAGCAGAGAACCCATGGAGACAGTCCCGAATCTTGCCCATCTGTTCCACAAGCCAGCGCTTGGTTTATGGCAGAGTAGTGGATAATCTCAGAATGCCTGCCCTGAGACCAGGCTCACTGGGCTTGCTGCAGTCCAAGCAATTTCCATGGATCTGTGCCCAGCTAGGAGCGGCTGGATGAAGCCAGTAGCAGTTCTGCGCTTATCTGGCCCATCTCCAAAATCGCTCCTGGCTAACTGTTCTTTCTCCCTGTGGGAGGACTAAATCCTCTGCCTCACTTTCTGCCAGTGCAGTCCTCCAGGTCTGCTGTTCCCTTCCACTGCTGTGTCTCTCTGCAGAGGCCTCCAGTGTTGCCAGCCTTCACCCATGACCGTGACTGTGCGTCCCCAGGTTCAAACAGCTCCTCTTGTGTAGTGAGTCCTATTCTCAGGGTGAAGGTGTTGCTGGCTACTGCCTTCTTCTTCATTCAAGTTTTTCTTTTTACTGTCTCTGTGGGCTTTAATTCACACTTCGTATTCTTTCTTCCTGTTTTCCTCACAAAGCGATATTCCAGAATCTGGATGGTGGTTCTTACTTTTTTTTTTTTTTTTTTTGGTACCAGGGATTGAAGTTACAACCATGCTTGCAAGACAGGCGATCGAACTCACGGCTCCCTGCTTGCAAAGCAGGCGCTTATGCCGCTGAGCTAAATGCCCAGCCCCTGGATGCTGATTCTTAGAGAAACTCTTTTCTCTGGTGCTTACCACTCTACCATCTTCACAGAAGTCTTATTTTTTTTAATTTTAAAGAGAGGGAAAAAAAACCCAGAAAAATTAAGAAGCAAACAAGCCAAAACAACAACAAAAGCAAAGCAACAAGAACAATGAAAAAAAAAATAGCAATATAAGATTTTAAAACAAGGGGCTGGGGATTTAGCTCAGCGGCATAAGCGCCTGCCTTGCAAACTCAGTCGTGAATTCGATTCCCGGTACCGATAAAAAGGAAAAAAGACAAAAAAAAAAAAAAAAAGATTTTAAAACAAGATGACCGGAATTTAACAATGGTTGTTATATCACATTTTGTCATCTCAAAATAGTTGCTCAGGTTACTAAATACAGGAATAAAACAAAACAATAAAATAGAACATTTGATTTCAAAAACAAGACAGAAGGAACTCTTCCATAGTTGCTATAATGCATATTGTTATCTTCCAAATAGATACTCAGATTACCAGCTTTAGACTTGCAAACTCAAACAATACAAGCATTAATTTGTTGTTGTTGCTGTTGTTGTTATTTTTACTTTTTGCTATTATCTCAGCCTGAGTTCCTCCAAATCAGCCAGTTGCTTATGGCAAAGGCTGGTTGGGGGTAGGGTGCAATGTTATTCTTCTTGTCTCCCACCCTGTGTGCCAGGGCTCATGGGAAGGTATGGGTTGGCTTCTTGATTCTCCTGCTGTCCCACATGGTTGTCACTAGAAATTTTTTTCTTGAGCAACTTCTTTGTACTTCACAGAATTAATAATTGCCTCAGTCCTATTTGAATGCCTCTACTTTAAACGCTAGTCGAGCACAGGTTGTATGTAACCTGTGCTTCTGACTGACTGGTTATAATTTGGGGCTCCTATGACCCCTTCCTTAAATACAATTAATTTTCTAGAGCGACTGGGTGGGAAGGCCCATGCCTGTAATCCTAGCTATTCAGGAGGACTCCAAGTTTGAGTCCTGCCTGAGTGAGACCCTGTCTCCAAAAAAAAAAAAAAAAAAAAATTGCTGGGTATGAGATATATATATGTTATGTATATATGTCATATGTATGTTTTATATATATATATATATATAACATATATAATTTTTTTGCTAGAACATCTCACAGAACTTAGAAACACTTATAATTACTCAAATAATATAAACAATATTGTGAACGCAAATGACCAGGCCAGTGGAAGAGATGGCATAGAGCAGAGGGCTGGAGAAGGAACATGTTATCCTCCAGGAGCTGCCACATGCTTAGCTTTCCAGGAACCCACCAAACTCAGCCCTTTTGGGTTTTTATGTAGGCTTTGTTAGGCAGACACAGTTGATGATAAATCTAATCTCTAGCTCCTTTCCACCCCCAGGAGCTAAATGTGTTACTGTTCTAGTTTTGCCTTGCTTTTTCTTGTGACCAAGCTCAACTGCATTCAAAAGCTGTCTAGAAGTGTCCAGTTACCATTCATCTTGCTACCCTAATGGACACAGCACTGTGAAGATATCAAGGATTTTAGAGCGTTTATGTCAGGAAACCCAGAGGAAGGCCAAATACTATTTCAGAATATCACTGTTAGAAAACCATGGACAAGGCTCAGAAAACTAATTAAAGTAGGGAGGTCAATAGTGAAAGCCTAGTAGCTGGGGATACACCTAGCTGAGCGGCATAAGTGCCTGACTGGCAATCACAAGGTCCTGAGTTTGATTCCCATACCAAAAAAAAAAAAGCCTAATTAACCAGTTTATCTTTTGCTTTCTTTTTGAAAACCATAATGATAATGTCTTTTGTTTTATTTTATTTTTACAGTGCTAGGGATTAATCCAGGGCTTCATGTATGCTAGGCAAGAGTTCTACCATTGAGTTACATCCTAGCCCAACTGTGTCTTTTTTACTTAATTTAAACCTGCTTTCTCTAAGAATCACTGAATGTCTGTTTATTTAACAATGCAGATGTTAAATATTTTATCCAATCTCTTGTATTCTTGATCCTCAGATTCTTTTCTTCCGTTGTTCCTTACACTATGAAATGATTTATCATAGGTGGCCACAAATAGCCGAGTTTACTTATTTGACATTTTCCTTCTGGGAAGTCGAGCTTTCAACAATGGACTTCAGATGATATTTGAAGACAAAAGAATCTTAAAGGTAAGTATATAAGCAGGTTCTACTAGTAGTAAGATTAGCAGCGAGGTCCTAATTACTCTGTCTTCATCTTCTGATTTCTTAGGTTATCCATGACTGTCGCTGGCTTTCTGATTGCCTCTTTCATCAGTATGGGATCATGCTGAATAATGTCTTTGACACACAGGTACATGAAGGGGAACACTGGATTCAAACTAGTGCTTGGAGCTTCTGTAGGTGTTGGAAATCTGTGTGTCTCCCTCCTGCCCACTTCTCATGTTCATACAAGGTGTAAGAACATTTGGTAAAGTATAAAGAAAAACTGCAGAAAAGCTAGTTAAAGTTGTTTAGGAGCCAGGCATGGTGGCACACATCTGTAAATCCCAGCACTTGGAAGGCTGGGAAATTTACAGCAAACCTCGTGCCTTAACCTCCTTGGTGCTGTGATTATAGATGTGCACACCACAGCCAGTAACAGTTCTTTTAAAACTATGATATATAACCAAGCCTGGTGGTGTACACCTGTAATCCCAGCACTAAGGAAGCTGAAGCAAGAGGATAGCAGTGAATTCCAGGCCAACCTGGACTACATATTGAGTTCAAGGCCAGCCAAACTACATAATGAGACCCTCTCTCAAAAAAAAAAAAAAAAAAAGATTTAAATATGCAATGTATTAACTATTGTTATCCTCTAATTATTTTGTTACGAAATTTTGTTTTTTAATAGAAGTAAGAGTGAGTTTTATATTTTCTTTATTAATATCTATTGATATGGCATTGTAAGCATGAAAACATTTTTAAATGCATACCCATTTGTATGTATTTGTTAGCAGATATTGTACCAAATTAATATCACTAGTAGTGTTTATTTCATAGTGAAAGTATGTTATGGTTTGTGTCTAGATAACTCTCTAAAGCCTCATGCACTTTTAGATGGAGCTTTTTCAGAAGTAGCTGAATCTGGAGTTTGTGATCCATTCACAATCCAATGCTGGGATTATGGATATGAGTGTTACACCCACCCTAGGGTGGGTAGCTTGCATACAGTGTAAGGGGACAGAAAGGGGCTTATCCCTCCTTTCTCTCTCTTCCTTCTGTGGCTTGCCTTTGCTGTCTTCTGTCACTAGAACTGTTTCTCTTCTTTGATGCACTTCTGCCAAGTCACCCTGCCTTGGAGCCAGCTGGCTATAGATTGAATCCTCTACAAACTGTGAGCTAAATAAACCTTTTCTCCTTTATCTTTGGGTGTTGGGTATTTTATCTCAACAAGGAGGAAAGTAACCAAAACAGTCCTTGGGATTTATGGGTTTAGAAGTATTAGAATAAAACAGGCTAAATTTATTGATTCCTGTGTCTTTTTTTTTTCCTGTCTTTTTCTTTTTGTTGGTACCGGGGATTGAACTCACGACCGCCTGCTTCCAAGGCAGGTGCTTATGCCGCTGAGCTAAATCTCCAGCCCCCTGATTCCTGTATCTTTTAAAAATGTTTACTTTATTAATACATGTGTACCATACATAATGATTACATTCATTGGGTTTTACTGTGTCTTTAAGATACAATGATTTAGGGGTGAGAAGTCTGGGGGGAGGGGAATATGTATAAGAGTGAAAAGGGCATTGTAACCTTGGATAACCTTGTGTCTTGATGCTACAGTTTTCTTAAAATTTATAATTTCCTCATCTGCATATGTCTGTCTTGGTTATTTTTCTCATTGCTGAGACAAAATACCCAACACCCAATGTTAAAGGAGGAAAGGTTTCTTTTGGCTCACAGTTTTTAGAGGTTTCAGTTCATAATTGGCTGACTCCAAGGCAGGGTGGCATCACAGAAGAGAAACAGTTAATGGAAGGCAAAAAGCAAAAGCAGCAAGAAGCAAGTGACAGGCAACATCTCTCTTTCTGTGCCTTACATTCCCTCTAGACTACCAGCCCTCATTGTGGATAGTATTTACATGCAGGATGGGGCACCCTTATTCCTACCCAAACTGTGATAAACCAGTCTGTGGACTGTGGGTAATCACACACCCTTGATTCTAGCATCACATACTGCAGATCCAGGTACCTCTGAAAAGCCCCACGTGTGACTGCAGAAGGCTTTTGGAGCACTTTTAAGACACGAGTCATAACAGTATCTTTATTTCTTTGGTTTCTATATCAGTTAACATTAAGGGTTTCAGGGATTTGGATATGGGTTTCTTGGGGGGGGGGTCATTATACAGTCTACCATATTTAAATAATTCCTGTACTTTTTATTTTATTAATGATGGGTTCTACCCATATAGGACTCTGCTAGGCTCACCATGGCTGTGATCCAACATGGTGCCTATAACCTCAGGGCCAGCCAAAGCAAACTTCTGTGTTCTTCTAATCCCAAAATGAACTTCCTGCTCTTTTTTCATGCTTGAACCAAAGATCCTCCAATCCTCTCCTGACACCACAATCCAGTTTCTGCCCTCAGCCCAACTTTATAAAAGCTGTTCCCTAGCTTCCCCTGTATGGGGGTCCTGGCAGCCTGCAGCTCTCCTGCTCTGGCAATAGAAGTTTTTTCTTATTTGCCTTTGTGTCTCAACTGTGCCAAAAAAAAACCTCCTAACAATTAGCTTTCCTTACCAAAACTTTACCAGAATTGCTTACAAATTGTACAATAATTATTGAATTTTATTTTCCTTTCCTAGTCTCCAAAGACCTTAAAGTATAATAAGTAACTTAGCAGGCAAAAGAAGTAGAAAAGAAGTAGACACAAATATGTTGGGTTATTTCATTACTTTAAAAATTTTGTTTTCAAAATGAGTTGTCTGAACAACTTGGCATGGTCTATCATATTGATCCTTGAGAGAAATGATCTATAAAGACATTTTTAAAAATATTCTTTCTATTTATTCAATGACAAATACATATTTTTTGGGGAAGGGAGAGGTTCGAGACACAGTCTTATTATGTAGTTTAGGCTAGCTTTGAACTCACTATGTAGCCCAAATTGATCCCAAACTTGTGATCCTCCTACTTGAGCCTCTCAAGTGCTAGGATTACAGGTGTGTGCTACCATACGCAGCTGTTTTCTGTATATATTTGATTAGCTAGTGTTTCTTTTTTCATTATCACAGGTAGCAGATGTCTTTCAGTTTTCCATAGAAACTGGTGGCTTTCTTCCAAATTGCATCAGTACTTTACAGGAAAGTTTAATAAGACACCTTAATGTAGCCCCTAAACACCTCTCCTTTCTAGAAGACAGACAAAAATTGATTCAGGTGAGTGTTGATGATGTCTAATTTCACAATAATTTTTTCAAGTGTTTCCTAAACAGAATTAATAGCCTGTTATGTAAAGAAAAGATAGCTTCCATGTAAGCATATAAGAATCAACAAAATCTTAGTTGTGCCAGATAGGAACAATTTGTGGTTTCAAGTGAAAAGCTAGGATCCAGATTTGCGAATAATCAACTAAAAAGTATTCTGAAATAAAATTTCTATGTTGGGACAAGGAGAAATTTTGTGATACTTCGGATTAATGAGATGAAACCAAAGCCATCCCATTTATTTCTCCCAAAGAGTTATAAATTTTATTGCCAGGCATGGTGGTGCACACCTGTAATCCCAGTATAGAAGGCTGAGACAGAAGAATCTTTGAGAGTTCAAGGCCAGCCTGAACTGCATAGACCCTGTCTCAAAAATAAAACAAGAAAAAAATATATTTAGTTCCTAACTTGAGATATGACTGTATTGTCTACAAACTTGGTCATATATGTAAGTCTGTTGCCTTCAACTTTCTTTTATTTGTTTGATTTTTTTTTTTTTTTTTTTTAGAGACAGGGCCTCTATGCCATTCATACTGGCTTTGAATTCACTCAGGCTGGCCTTAAGTTCATCATTGTCTTCCTGCCCCAGCCTCCTGAGTTCTGGGATTACAGGCACATGCTACTACACCTGGCTGCTGCCTCTAATTTTAAATGCTAAATCTAGATTGACCCCCTACCCCCTCTTTCTCTTGTTTCATCCACACATTGTAATTGTGTGTGTGTGTGTGTGTGTGTGTGTGTGTGTGTTTGCTGAGAAGACTACTTATAAATTTAAAGTAATAATAATGTAAGAATTAGTGTTTTAAAGCTACTCTCTGGGCCAGTGTGGGGTGATGCATGCCTGTGATCTCAGTTACTTGGGAGGATGAAGCAGGAGGATCACAAATCAGAAACTAGCTAAGCAATTTAGCAAGAGTCTATCATAAAACAAATACAAAATTTAAAAAGGTCCAGGGATGCAGCTCAGTGGTAGAGTGCTTGCATAGCATGTGTGAAGCCCCGGGTTCATTTTCCAATACTGGAAAAAAAATATTTTGGTGTGTCTAGGAAAATCCAGAAGTGTGGTTCACCCGACCTCTTCCACCCTCTTTACTGAAAATCTTGGCCCTGCAAGCAACATACCTGCTTCCTCTTCGCACAGTGCTTCTGGATGAGATGATGTCTGACCTCACCATGCTAGTGGGCAGCTACCTAAACACCTGCCGAGAAGGCTCTGCAGACCAGCTTGTGGGCACAGAGGTAGGTGTGGCTGTCTCAGGACCTCTTTTGCTGGTTTCTGCCTCTCCTGGCGGGGTACAGTAACACTCATTTTTCACAACCTCACCAACTTTCTTGGGGCACACATATACATATGTCACATGTGTATATATGTGTGACAACACACATAAGTGAAAGTCCACCAAAAAATGTATACACCAGGAAAAGAAAAACTGTTTATATTTTAATACTAAATTTATTGAGACATCGTGAGATTAATACAAGTTACTTTTGGCCTCTACAATTATAAAAGGGGTTCAAAGAATGACCATCATTAAAAAAATCAAACAATAACAAATGCTGGCATGGCTGTAGTAAAAAACTTTTCCTCACTATTGGTATAAATGTAAAGTAGTACAACCATTATGCAAACCAATATGCAAATTTATTGAACTGTAGAACATGAACAAGTGAACCTCCCCTTTTAGGAATTTTCCCTAAAGAACTTAAGAAATACTACATTGAAACATGCATGCCAATGTTTGTAGCAGCACAATTCATAATAGATAGATCTTGCAAGAAGCCTGTATATCCATCAACAGATTATTGAATAAAGAAAATCTGGTATCTATATACAGGAGAATACTCTTGGCTATAAAGAGTGACAAATTTGAGACATTTGTAGAAAAATGCATCACCTAGAATATAATGTTGAGTGAAATAAACTGGACACACAAGCTTAAAGGCCATGTTGTTTCTTATTTGAATAAGAAACAATGTACAAAGAGATTAATAAAGAGATGGATTGAAAGGGACAAGAAGACAGATCTCTTGCAATAGGGAAGTGATCCAAGGGAACAAGGGTGAGGGTGGAGGAAGAGGGAAAGGGAAATAAATAGAATAAAGATTCACCATCTACGAGAACCTAATGACCTCAGTGAATGTAAACATTATATGATGCAACATGAACTAAGATTAATAAAATCAACAAGAATGAAAATTGGAATGGAGGAATTAGAAGAGGAAAAGTAATTAAAAAAAAAGAAACAAGCTGTAGTATATACATGTCACCGTTCTCCAAGATGATTGTATTGCAAACGTGTTCTAATAAATTTTTTTTTAAGTTTAAAAAATTTGTTATAGATGTGGCAAAGAGATGGCAGCTTTCCTGTTTTCTGACCAAAAATATAATGTAAGTTTCCAGGGTTATCCAGTATATAATAATGAAAGATTTAAAAAAAGAATCTGAGGATGTAGCTTAGTGGTATTTGCTTAGCATATGTAAGGCCTTGAGTTCATTCTCCAGCACCACAAAAGTTAAATTTCCATGACACAGAAGGCTTTTTTTTTTTTTTTTTTTTTTGAGACAGCGTCTAGCTATGTACTTTTAACTAGCCTTAAATTTACTCTGGCACAGGCTGGCCTCAAACTCACAATGATCTTCTCTCAACCTCCCGAGTGCTGGGATTATAGCCATGTACCACCATGCCCACTAGATAGTTTTTTTATGTAACAAGAAAATATTTCGAGGCTGTAGAAGACCTAGTGTTGTGCCATGTGTCTGTAGCGCTCGCTATTCAGTAATCTAAGGCAGGAAGATCTCTTGAGCGCTGTTTAAAGCCAGCCTAGGCAACACGGTGAGACCTGGTACCTCACTGGCAATGTTGTTTTGTGATATGTTAAAAGTGAAGCACACCTATAAACACAGCATTCTGACTCTGGGAGGCAGAGGTGAGAGCATTGCAAATTTGAGCCTGGACTGGGCAACTTAGCAAATATGTGAGACTATGTCTCAAAACAACAACAACAAAAGGATCTGAAGCTACATCTCAGTGCATAGGTGCTGGGTTCAGTCCCCAGCGCGCACACACACACACACACACACACACACACACACACATACACACACATACACACACACACACACACACACACATACACATACACATACACATACACACACACACATACACATACACACAGACCTAGAAATCAGAAGGTAAAGCCATATTAGAAAAATCACTAAATTACTTGCCCTGTGTAACAAAGTGGACTTTTATTTATGTACTGTATTCTTTATTTCAGCATTTATATCATGACAAAACACTACAAGTAAATCAAATATCCACAAATACCCATCAAGAAGGGTTTTGTTGAGTAAGTTATTATATATCCATACAGCCCTTAAAAATGCCATTAATCCTTGGGCTGGAGATTTAGCTCAGCAGGCATAAGCGCCTGCCTTACAAGCAGGCAGTCCTGAGTTCGATCCCCGGTACCGATAAAAAGGAAAGACAAAAAAAAAATTGCCATTAATCCTTTCAGCCAGAACTGCCATCTTCCAGTTTTTGCCAAAATGACGAGCACAAAGGGAAAGAGGAGGGGAACCCGGTATATGTTCTCTAGGCCTTTTAGAAAACATGGAGTTGTTCCTTTGGCCACATACATGCGAATCTACAAAAAGGGTGATATTGTAGACATCAAGGGAATGGGTACTGTACAAAAAGGAATGCCACACAAATGTTATCATGGCAAAACAGGAAGAGTCTACAATGTCACCCAGCATGCTGTTGGCATTGTTGTAAACGAGCAAGTTAAGGGCAAGATCCTGGCCAAGAGGATTAATGTGCGTATTGAGCATATTAAACACTCAAAGAGTGATAGCTTCCTGAAACGTGTCAAGGAAAATGATCAGAAAAAGAAGGAAGCCAAAGAGAAAGGTACCCCTGGATTCAACTAGAGTGCCAGCCCGCCCCACCCAGAGAAGCGCACTTTGTGAGGACCAATGGGAAGGAGCCTGAGTTGCCACAACTCATTCACTATTATGAACTCATGGCATAAGCTGGGGAGGGAGCTCTGCCATTCAGCACCTAATGGTGGCTAAGTGTTCTGGGCCCTGCTTAGGGATGAAAAATCATCCTGTAGGGGCTGGGGATTTAGCTTAGCGGCATGAGCGCCTGCTTTGTAAGCAGGCAGTTGTGAGTTCGATCCCTGGTACCGATAAAAATGAAAAAGACAAAAAAAAAAAAAAAAACCCAAAAAGAAAAATCATCCTGTATTGTAAGGATGGTTTTCTTAATTGGGCAGGTGTGGTGCCTCTATTCTACTTCAGAAACAAATTTTTGGAGCAGCTTTTCATTCTACCTAGTTAATTGTGTCAGGTCTTTACTCTGTAGTGTTTTTCTTGCTAAAGATACTGCTGAGGTATTGTGTAGGTGTATCCCAAATAGCCAAATATTTATGAAATATTTATATTGGCTTGAGGATCCAATGGGGAAAAGATGTGTCAAAATAAAATGGAAGTCACTTCAGTTAAATAAATGGAAGTCCATTTTGGTTAAATAAATTGTTTAAAGCATCAAAAAGAAAGCCATTAATGGCACTCTCAAAAATTTTTTTAGTTAAAAAATTAGAAATGATGGTGAATATATAACAGTTTTTAACCATTTGTATAGAATGTTTTTAGGTACATTTTGTTATCAAAATTAAAAATTGAAAAAATAATGTAAACCCAGATTAGCAAATATAAACATTTAATAAGGCAATTGAGACAGGATCTCACTATGTAGTTTAGGTAGGTCTTGAACTCATTATGTAGCCCAAGCTGACCTTGAACTTGTAGTGATCCTTTGCCTTGGCCACCAGATACCAGGATTATAGGTGTGCTTGCTAAGAAACAACATTGCACAGAGTGTACCTGCTAAGGCAAATGGGACGAGGTTGGGAGACTTACTTTTCCTGTGTAATCACTTTACACACACACACACACACACACACACACACACACACACACACACAATTTTCCTGTGCAATTGTTACACATACACAACTGGATTCAAGATATTTAAATCACTTGAGAAATAGTACAGTTGTTGAATACACTAGAGGGTGCTGTATGATCACATTTGACTAGACATTTGATTGCCAACTCTCATTAGGTATAATAGAAGTAATTTTTAAGTAGCATATTCACAAGTTATTATCAACCTGTGTTCTTTTTCTTTTCTTAGCCTACATGTATGGAGCTGCCAGAAGAATTGCTTCAACTCAAAGACTTCCAGAAGCAGCGCAGAGAGAAAGCTGTGAAAGAATATAGGATGAATGCACAAGGACTCCTGATAAGAACTGTGCTGAACCCAAAGAAATCAGAGACAGTGACAGTGGGAAAAGGGGAAAAAGTCAGAGGCTTCTTGTATTGTAAAGATTCTAGAAAAGAAAAAGCTCCAAGTTTGACATCCCATGAATTTCATGAGGATGGGAATATTCCAAAAGGAGAATTTAAAACAACAGTAAAGTCTCAATATCTACCTTTTATACAAAAAGGAGAAGCCAGTGACAGTTTCAGTAACAGACTTATTTGCCCTGAGCACAAAGGATCAGAAGATGGGAGAACAACTCAGAAAGAACACTATATGTTGCCCAAGCATGAGTTTCAGAAAAGTTTTCCTCTAAAAGAAGAGAGAGAACAGTTATTGGTTCTCAAAGAAAAGGAATATTCATTGTCCACAAAAGCAGATGTTTCAGTATCTCCTTCTCCTCTTCAGGAAACCAGAATGTCACCAAATGATACCTGTCATCCATTCAGGAACACTGGGGTTTCCACACTCCCGCCCTGTCCAGCCTTGGAGAAGATCGACTTGTGGATAAATCCACCTCTGAATTTGCCTTAGGGTTTGCAGTTTGCTTGAGACCAGAGAAGGTCCACATTTCCACTGTCATCCAGGGTTTACTCAGTGCTAAAATGTCTCATGTCATGGGTGTAGTTCTGCCTCAGTTGCAGGCTTCAGAGAAAATTACATCCTCTTCTTTATTCCTGCTGTCATGGTACATGCATTAGGATGGAAATTAACACATTAATAAGGGAAGAATAAAGTTTCTGATTATGTCACAGTGCCAGAAATGTTTCCAATGGCCAGATTAAAGTATATCTCAAAATTTGGGTTTGGAAGTTTTTAAGGAGGGAAAAAATTAGGGCTTAATGTCAGGGAGAATCTATAATTTTAAATTTTTGTTCTGATTTTGGCTTTTAGGTTGCCTTTCAGGGAGTCCATAAGACTCTTGGTTATCCCTAAGTTGAAAAAATTGGCACCTAAAGTGTTACTAGTAATTTTCTCCTTAGAAATACTAACTTTATGCTTTAATTTTGAGTGTTTTGTCTGTCTCAAGTCATAAAACAATAGCTAATGTTACAGGAATCAGTACCTCAAATTTATTTCAGTTAGATGTGTCTTTTTTTTAGTCCATTTCACTAACAAAACAAGGACTCTGGACTCCTTTTTATTATACCTATTATGTAAGCTTGAAAATGGACTTCATTATATTGGTTCGGAGTTAATACATGTTCTTAGGATAAAAGAAAGGTGTGGAGGCATACACCTATAATCCCAGTACCCAGGGAGAGAAAGAGGCTGGCAAGTTCAAGCCCAGGATGGGGCAATTTAGCAAGAGCCTGTCTCAAAATAAAAAAAAAAAGGGTTGGGGATGTAGCTCAGTGTGAAGGCTCTGGATTCAATCAACAGCCCTGCTCCTTACCCCTGACCAAAAAAGAGGCAACTTGTATTGAGCCTTGTTCATAGTGTGTATTTACAAATTGCCCACATTCTTTTGTGTAATTATAACCAATAAAGCTGTTTGAACATTATTTGATTTCTTAATTTTCTTAATTGGCCTGACAGGAAGATTTGGAATATGTCTAGATTTCTGTGTCTAGAATCCAGTTTAGAAATCTGTCATTTGACTCTGTTACAGAATCTTACTTAGGGGAAACTGAGGGACAGTCAGTGGTTAGGGACATCCTTATCTGCACCAGCCATTTCTGTCCTAAATACTGCTAAAGAATCACCCTCCCTTTCCAGAACCCGGGTCCAATCTGTGTTTAAGAATATTGTAGGCAAAGCTGGGCGTAGTGATGCATTCATTCCTGTAATCCCAGCACTCTGGGAGGCTGAGGCAGGGGGATTGCTAAGAGTTCAAGGCCAGCTTGAGTTGCATTGTGAGATCCTGTCTCAAAAAAAAAGGAAAGAAAAAGAAAAAACAAAACCAAGCACACAACAAAAGATGCAGGCAGGCCCAGCTAGGAATGGTGGTGAGCATTAAGTCCGAGGCCAGTCTATGCTATATAACAGAGCCCCTAGCTCCAAAAGAAAACAAGCAACCAAAGAAGTAAAGAAGGCCTGACAGCAGTTGACTGAGTCTCAAAGTTGTGTTATCTACTGTATAGAAAGACACCTGGGGCTAAGTTGGTTGCTGGGAAGTCTTAGGGAAATGTATTTTCAGGTTGAGCTCAGAATGTGCTTTATACAGTTTTACTCTAGGAAGGGCATGAATTCTTAACATTCATTTAGCATCTTTTTTTTTTTGTCTTTTTATTTTTATCGGTACCGGGGATCGAACTCACAACCGCCTGCTTGCAAGGCAGGTACTTATGCCGCTGAGCTAAATCCCCAGCCCCCTGATTTAGCATCTTGTGGAACTTTTTTTTTAAAGACAGGCTGACCTTGAACTCACTGTGTGGCCCAGGCTGGCCTCCAACTCTGAGCCTCCTGAATGCTAGGATTAGTGTACCACCAGTACATCTGCATCAGTGGAACTGTTAAGTTACCATTTAGTGTGTGTGTGTGTGTACAATTCAAAATGTGAGCATTTTCATATCAAAAGAATTTTTCAGCTGGGGCTGATGGTACACACCTGTAATCTCAGCACTATGGGAGGCTGAGATAGGAGGATTGCAAAATTTGAGCCCAGCCCAGAAAAACTGTCACAAAATAAAAAATAAAAATAGGCTGAAAATGTAATTCTGTGAAGGTCTAGGGTTAAAACTCCAGAACCAAGGGGAAGAAAAAGGAAAAGAAGAAACCACAATGTAATCTCAAAAAAGGACTACTGGAATCCATGTGGGGCTTAATACGGGGCTGGGCATTTAGCTCAGTGGTAGAGCACTTGTCTAGCAAGCTGGAAGCCCTGATTTGGTCCTTAGCATCAACAAAGAAAAAGCTAAAAAATAAATAAAAGATAAACTTAAGGTCACAGAATACAATGGAAATATATAAAATGTAGATGTGTAAAAATTAGCAGTAGGGGCTGAGAATTTAGCTCCGTGGCTTAAATGCCTGCCTGGTAAGCATGAGGTCATGAGTTCAATATCTGGCACCAAAAAAAAAAACCTAGCAGTAAGTAGACATTGAATCTTAAAAATACAAGTTTTGGAAGTCCCATTTGGCCCAGCTATTCCACTTCTGGGCATATTTCCAGAAGAATTGAAATCATCCTATTGCAATGATATATGTGCACCCACATTTATAGCAGCACAATTTATAATAGCCAAATCTTGGAAACAACCTAAATGACCACCAAATGAGGAATGGATAAAAAAGATATGGTACTTTATACAATGGAATACTACTCAGCTATAAAAAGGATCACATTGAGGCTTTTATAGGTAAATGGATGCAAGTTGAGACCATACTAATAAGTGAAATAAACTCACATGTGTAAATACTGTATTGTCCCCTAGTTTAAGTAACTGAAAGAGTAAATAAGATACAAAATCTTCAATGAATATTGTGAAAGGATAAGAAACTGCTCAAGGGGGAAAAATAACTTGGATAAGGAAAAGGAGAAAAGAAAAGAAAAAAAAAGATAAATTTCACATATATACAAGATAGCTAAGATGATTGTACTGTTAATTCTATTAGTTCTTGGAACAAAACAGTTAACATTCATAGGATTGGATCAATTTTGCATGTTTACATCTGGTAATAGTAACTTTTGAAGATAACTATGCAGAATAATAATCTTAGTTATGTTCCTATCAGCTTGTTTTGAAAGCCTATATTGTTATTTCTTGGGCTGTTATTGTTATTTATCTCTTTTGTTTCTTGTTTTTCTTGTATTTTGCTCTGTTTTGTTTTGTTTTTCCCTCTACTACAGAAAAGATAGATGTATGTGTATAGGCTTATACATGCCTAGATCTTCTAAAGAATTTTCAAGAATTGATTTTATTATGTGTGATGGTATCACAGCTACTTTGAAGAAAATAAGACATTATTGCTGATTTTCTATCATTTTGTTTTGAGATCCAATAATGCTTTTATTCTTTGTTTTGATTGGTTTCAGCCTGTTTTCTATTATTTGACTTCAATATGTGTGAAGGTATTGACAGCTATTTTGAAGAGAACAAGAGACATTATGGTAGCCATTGTTGATTTTATTGTTTGGTTTTGAAGGCCTGTAATACTTTCATTCTTTTGGTTGGTTTTATGCTATTTTGTTTTGTTTGAATTCATTGCGTGGAAAGATATGGACAACTATGTTGAAGAAAACAAGATATTATAGTAGCCACTTTTGTTTAGAAATCCTGTGTTGCTTGGATTGTTTTGTTCTGATCTGTTTTGTTCTGTTTGATTCTCTTTAAAATTAAAAAAATACAATTTATAGTACAGTAGTGTCCCAGATATGATGTTCTTAGTATATTTAACAAAATGTATGCGAAGCCTGTATAGGAAAAATCAGAATATTGCTGAGAGAAAATAAGCTAAGTAAATGAAAACTAGGTATTGTAAAGATGTTAATTTTTCTCAAATTGACCTACAGATTTTTTTTCTTTTTGAGACGTCTTGCTATGCAGTTCAGGCTGGTTTAGAACTGTCAACAATCCTCTTGCTTCAGCCTCTGAGTGCTGGGATTACAGGTGTGCGCCTCTCACCTGGCTGACAGAGATTCTACAGTGTACACAGATACAAAGAGATTAGCTAGAAATAGCTAATAATAAGGTTGGAGGGTTTATCTTATCAGATTTGTGGATTTTAAGGCAGTGTGCTAAGGCTGGAGTATAGCTCAGTGGTAGTGTTTGCCTACCATGCAGGAAGCTCTATGATCCATCACAACTGAAAAAAAATTGGTTGCAGAACAAGTAGATAATCCACAGGAGATGGGGGACAAAGGAAGGTTCCAACCCTGACTCCATACTGTACAAAAACTTGGACTAGGATAGCAGCAATGCCTGTAATCGCAGTATTCTTGGAGGATGAAACAGGAAGATGCAAGTTTGAGCCCAGCCGGGACAACTTAATGAATTAAGGAGACTCTGTCTCCAAATAAAACAGGAGCCTGGGCTTGGAGATGCTGCTGAGTGTGAAGACTCTGGATGTAGTTCCCAGCACTGTAAAAAATCATAAATTTTCATGAAGGCCCTAGAGGACACACACCACTCTCTGCCTGCTTCTGTGGGTAAAAGCTGTTGAGGAAAAGAAGAAAAAAAATAATAAATTTAAAGGTTAGGAAAATTAAAAGCTAAAACTATAAAAATTTTCAGTAGATATAATCTACATAATATTGGGGTAGACAAATACTTCTTAGGATAGAAAAAGCACAAACCACATAGAAAAATAAAAACCATGACGTGTATGAATTAGATACCAAAATTTAAATGTCCTTGAAGGATACTGCAAAGAAAACAGAAAATATTTGCATCATGTATTGTGACAATGGATTTATATTCAGCATATATAAAGAAATCTTATTCTTTAATAAGACAATTCAATTTAAAAATAAAATTGATGGAATAGAAACATCATAAAAGCAGATATGGATGTAAGAATGGCCAATAAACACATGAAATGACATTCAGCATTATTTCTTATCAAACAGTGTAAATTAAAACTACAGCAACATACCACACAAACTCACTACAGTGGTAAAATGTAAAAAGACCAGTCGGCAAATGTGAGTGAGGATACAGAGCAAGCCGAATTCCTACACATTGGTGGTGGGAATGCAAACTGGTACAGCCATTCTGAGAAAAGACCTGGCCATTTCTTCAGTGGTTCAATGTATACTTAGTTAAGCCAGAAACTCATCATGTTGGTATTTGTGTCTGAAACCACGTTGTGGTTATTTTGGTGCTGAGAATTAAACCCAGGGCCTTACACGTGCAAGGCAATAGATGTATCACTGACCTATATCCCTGGGTCCTTTTTATTTTGAGACAGTCTCAATAAGTCCCCCTGCTAGCCTTGAACAGGTGATCCATCTGTGTCAGTTCCCGAGTGGCAGGTTTTGCAGTCATTCAGCACCTGCACAGGCCTGTTGTAGACAATTTAGCAAGATTCTGTCTTAAAATTTTAAAAGGGGGCAAGGATTTGGCTCAGTGGTAGAACATGTGTATGTATGAGGTCCTAGGTTCTGTCCCCAGTATTATAAAAAATAACATACAGTACAATACCAAAAAACTGAAAATTGCTGGTTTAGTGAGTAGAGGGGAAATAATCATTAGGGGTACAACTATTTATTTATTTGGTGTCAGTATTGGTGACTGATCCCAGCCATTTGCATTGAGCTACATCACTAGCCCTTTAAAAAATTTTTTATTCCTAATGTTTGAGATAGGGTTTTGCTGAGTCACTTAAGTTGCCTAGGCTAGGATTGAACTTGTAACTCCTGCCTCACCCTCCCGGAGTGCTGGGATTACAGGTATGTATGACCACACCTGGGCAATAATTTGTTAAATGATAAATGTAGACAATGTTTTAAGAGAAACAGTAAGATATGCACATAGTTATAAAAGGTATAGAAGAACTTACCATGGCGATAAATATGCCCTGACCTTTCTTTTCATAAACTTGGTCCTGTTCCCCAGAAGCA